AACTACGAGATGCTCGAGCAGCGTGGGTGGATGCATTGCCAACTTCGCTCGATAGCTTATATGTCCATTTATACTCCAAGACCGCTTTGTCGTACTCCTCAGCGTGTGCTTGGTAGAGATGCCTTCGGAGATTCGTGTTTGCGGTGGTTGGCCGTAGATATATCTGGCTACACCGGGGAGCATAGACTTATTGAATCCATATTTCTCGCTGTTTGTCATAAGAAAGCAGAATGGATATCAGAAAGTCTGTACATACAAGCATAGCTTGCAGACTTTAGGTGGAGGCGGACCTTGGTTCAAATTATTAGGCCGCCTTGAGTGGGTTGTTCAATACCAGTGAAGAAGTACAGGAGATCGAGGGTTGCAATCACGTCAACAGGCCCATTGAGGGGGTCAGCTTGTTGGGAACCCGTGTTCTGAGGCTCTAGCTCAGACAAGGGATTTGGAGGACCAGATGTGTCGGATATCTCGTCGTCACCGTCTTTCCCCTGCAAGTTGAATTCTTTGGCATTGGCGACTGCGTCGAGTTGGGTGGTAGTTGCCTTGGATTAACCAGTAAGTCTCAAGACTCAAGGTACGTAGAGAGCCCAGGAAAGTCACCTTTGGTTGAGTCAGAGACGAGCCAACGGGACATGCACTCGAACAACGAGAAGCATCCTTGGCATTGGCTCGTCCCACAGCCACAGGTGCAGCTACTGATGACGGTTCAAGGGGCTGTTCTGTCTTGCACGGAGCCATGGCACGAAGAGAAAACGAAGGATCAGTGAGAACGGGGGATTCAAGAGAAATGGGGAATCGAGAGAACGGGGGATTTATGGCCTAAACTCCCAAAGGCCAGTGTATTGCTTGTGGGCCGAGACTTGTGCTACCCACAGGCACTCCACGGGAAATGACCAAAATGACCAAATAGATTACGTCCATGACATTGACGTTGGATTGTGGGTCTGTCACCAAGCATTGGGCGAACGACTCAAAGTGAAAATGTGGTGTTGTAGACTTGTAATCTTGGCGCTAAATACAGTATTCTTTTTTGGATACTGAGTGAAAGTGAACGGAATAACAAAGACAAGATGAGGACCTTGGGAAGTAAGATGGGTGAATGGGCGTGCACATGCCACGATGTCAGTCGAGTCACCGTACATTCAAATTGAGTCGCGTACGTTCAATTGAATCACACGATTCATGACTCAGAAATACCCAGATCGGATTGGATCAGATCACATCATACTGAACGGCACATTAGGCAGTAACTTACGTACAGAACAAACACGAGAGAAACATAGTAACCACTGCTAACCCTGCCGCCGCTTGCTCCCAGACACCTTATTAAAGGGACCCCCCTCATCCGCTACAGGCCTCGACTGCTTGGATTGTGATTGGGAATAGAAGTGGATCGAAGCATTCGATCGTGCAATACTCTGAAGACTGGCCTTGTCATTGGAGGGCCACTCGGCGTTAAGGGCCTGCTCAAATTGCTTGAGCAGGGTGTCATAATCCTTCAAAAACGTCAACCCTATTTCATAATTCTTGTCTTCTTCCTCTGGATTCTTGCGTAGACTACGACCAGAGAGTATGTAGGGGTTGAGCTTTGTAGGCGGCGCTTGGTCTGATGGCCGTGGACGATATTGGCCAGCGACAGAATCATACAATTCCATCGCAAGCTCATGAAGGATAGGATTGTCGCGAATTCGAAATCCTTTCTCCCTCAGCGGATTACCTGCTTTCAGCCATGTCGACTTCTCTGTGCTTCTGATATTAGAATATACCTTTGGGTTCATCACCCCATTGATGAAAATTGAGCGTGTGCTCTCATCCCAGGTAGTTGGCACCCGTGTCACAACAATCCACATAAGAACCCAGAAAAATGATTCAAGGTCATGACTGAATGTGTGGCGGATCTTGGGGCGTTCGATAAGCTCAGCAGCCATAAACTGCCAGGTTCCCTGGCGGAAAGATATGTCAGGAGTCTGGAATACTGGGTCATGTAATAACTTACAGTGCGTGTTTGCTGGCGTGCGGTACTGCCACTGTGTTCGTCATCTCGGTCGATCACCTTGGAGAGATCCCAATCGATGAGTAATCCGCCCTGAATCTTCGATTCATGCGGGTCATTATGGTCCAATTCATTGTCGCAGGCGATTAAGATATTTCCTGGACTAATGTCTCAATGAAGGATCCCAATGTCATGAGCAGCTTTGTGAGCTACAATGTGAATCAGGTTACATAGACAAACTGCTAAGAAAATAGTCATCTCACCTTTCAGGGCAGCATACATTGCATTTACAAACTCCCGAGTACATTTGAATTCCTCCAACTTCCTCCCTATGGTACCTAGGACAATACGGTAGTGCCGATGAGGAGTTAGTTTATAATTCATGTCGTTGCCGACTTTGTGAGTTTGAGTTTGGTGATAGATGTCGGTGCCAACATCACCAGCCGATAAGCAGGAAGGAATGTTGTCAACTTTTCCCCGATGGAGCAGATCATAGAGCTCCCCTTCTGGTTTGATGTCCTTCAAAAGGACACGCCAAGAGTCCTTGACGAGGACACAACACTTTTCTTTGACATCCAAGGCGAATAACAACCGAGTCCACCAACCTACGGGGATATCCGGTCGAGGTTCTGGGCTGGAGATGATATATCGGCGCTCTGACGGTCGATCTGAATCATCTGGTATGGTTAGGACTAGAAACGACTCCACGTCTTTCAGTTCAGGGACGATGGCTCTGGCAAGTGCAATTTCTTCCAGGGTGGATGATGAGTGAACCGTAGAATCATGGCCGCGAACTTCGGAATCTGCGATACCATAGCGGACGAGAAAGTCGAAAAGGTGTGGTTGCGAATTGTAATATATGGGTTCGGTGACGACTGCACCACTACGGTCCCATCGAATGAGTCTTGCATAGTCTTTCATAATGAGAACCGAGAATGTATGTGTGCAATACTGAGCGCTCATTATCGCCGTGGCATACGCTGTGATCTGGCCTAGATTTGATCATGAACCAGATGTCAGGTGTAGGAAGGAGTTTAAGTTGTCGCCGCTGTTGGAAGTGTGGTCCCTGGGGTTAGACGGAACTTTGAGGACAAATGGGTCCGCCTCCGATTTCATCTTGATGACAAAATCCACGCGAGAGAGGTCGAGATCATCTTTTGTCCTTTTCCCATGCATATATACCAAGCAGTCGGGCTTCAGTTTGAGATGGAATTTGCCACGCGGTGCTTTGTCTGAGGAACGGGATGTGTTGACTATGATTAAACTTGGGACATGCAGAGAAATGGCTTCAATCTAAAAGGGTAGGATTAGTCACAGAACAAGTGCGGTGGGCGACGTGGGTCAGAACTCACAAATTTATCATACCATGTCCCAAGTCGACTAAAAAGGTCAGCTCGGTGACATGCGGCGCGGCTCGGCTAGCATTTTAGCCGACTCAGGCGCCGGCTTTAGCTGGAGCTGCCAAAACTGTTACGCCTTTCGTCTGTTCTTAGTGTCACGTGCTTACTTGTACTTATATTCTCTCACCATGTGTACCACCGGCCCGCTTATAGCGCCTTCCGGACTCCTTTCGGCCGTTGCCGTGATCTCGATACTTAGCAGCTATGTCTTCTTCGTTTTCGTTCCTACATACCTTCCTATTCGGTCGGATGTTCCCACGCCACGAGAGTCTCAGTCACTTTGACTCACTTTGACTCCCTCCTACTATACTCCTCACGCGTGCGTCATTTCTCCACTTACTTACTCATAAACTTGTACGATTACTCAGTACCTTACGAAGCATCACTAAGTCGATTACCAACTCGCTTAGTGATCTCCTTGGCTCGCAATGACGCGGCCTTTCTGTACTTGTATATTAGCACGCTTGTAAAGACCTAAGTCGCTTCAGACTTGGTCTCCTTTGTGAATTCAGGACCATAAACTTCCATTGAGCTTCACTCGCTCGCCTTCGGCTTGCTCGCTTATTCCCTTGCGACTTGTTCGATCAGCTTCATCTCGCTTTGCTGGCTAGCCAGGTTTATTACTACACTCGCCGCACAGCTTGACTCCCTTAGTCACATCGTATCCTTTGCGCTTAGGTTCCAGTCCTAAGTCAGCTACCAGATCTAACTCCTGTTTGAGTTAGCTTACGCCTCGACGTACTGAGGTTAGCCTTGACGTACTAAGGCTCTTCTTATCCAGAAGCTCATCGTGTAAGTAACTGCCATTGGGAGGTTGCTTACGCGCCATACGAGACAGTCCGCTCGTAACAGAAACACTACTCGGGCCCCCCCCTGTACTTGGCACACCTGCGGGTCCCTGCCTCCACTACACTTCATTAGGAGGGGAGCTGATCGGCACCGAAGTGTGCAATGTCTCCCACCCCATTCACCAAAACACCCCATACGTACACACCACCCCAGCGGGCAAGCGTCAAACCCCCAGTCACACATAGAACACTGTTTGGCGTGACCGCCTCTTTGTCTGTAGTTACATGCGTGCGGAATAAAAATTCGGAAAAAAAAAAAAAAAAAAAAAAAAAGTTGAGTCTCCTGTCCAAATAACAGAAGTCTCTTCTCCTCCTATTCAAAGCTGGGGTCTTATCAACGAACTGATAAGGCGGGAACCCGTTACTCTGCAGTATACTAAGTCGCTCTAAGACTTAGGACTCTGTTCGGCAACCAAACCTCGGTTGAGGTTTGAGGTTGAGGTTGAGCTTTGTAAGCGCAAATAGCTGATGTAATCGTACCATGACCATCTCGTAACCAACCATTATGTGACAGAAAAGTGACCAGAACGGGATTCGAACCCAGGCCCCCCCGGATCCCCCTGGATATATACCAGGTGCTCTAACCGCTGAACTACCCAGCTGTGGATCCAACCAACCTGGATAGCACTTCATATTCTAGTGCCTCAACCTGGGCTATCCAGACCATGTGACAGATTACACATCCAGCACAAGAGTGTTGTGTACGATTACATCAGCTATTTGCGCTTACAAAGCTCAACCTCAACCTCAAACCTCAACCGAGGTTCGGTTGCCGAACGGAGCCTTAGCTCATGACCCAGCCCCCGGCTAAAGACACAGTCACTCTACCCAAGTACGCCTTCTGCCAGGAGGTGTTCCCCGACTTAGTACACAAGGGAGGATGCTGCACGTGCTTCGATACCCCTTGCACCAAGGAGGAGGCAACTACCATGGACACAACTGAGCTCTAATCGTCTCGTCCATACCGGCGGTGACATTAGACTCAACTTTGTTAAAAACTACGGCTAGCAGCAGCAAAGACAGCATAGACATTGACCACCCAGAACATCTGACAAAAGAACAACTACTCGTCACAAGACCTAACTCGAGAATCAGAAGACTTGAATCATACAAGTCAGCCAACAAGAAAGGAAAAGCCATCCAACTATTCTGTAGAAGCAGCAACCTACAGATTAAAGACGCCGGACCAGTTACCCTACACAACGGAGTGTGGCACCGCATCCTACCAGGAGCAACTAGGAGAGACTTTGTGCTTGGAGAACCCGAGCCTAGTATACACAACTTCGATTTCAGCATCGAAACCAGCGACGCAACCACCCCGAGCATCATAGTAGAAGAACCGGTCAAAGAGAAGGAACCAGTAAAGGAAAGACCAAGCAGGGACTCCTCAGACGAAGAGGACAACCAAATAGACGAGCAAATCCGTCGAAGCCCAATTCAAAGCAGCACGTCCTTTGCACAAGTAGTAGCGGCAAAGCAGAAACCCCGAGCCGTGCAAACCACCCTAAAACAACCCCAGAAGACGACCGCAATGGCCACTCAAACCACCACCCAAACCACTACCACCGCAGCAACTGCCGCCCAAGCCAATGTCACCAAAGCCTTCCAGAAAGCCCTCCAATGCGCCCCTCCATCGGGAGGCGGTGGTGGAGGAGGTGGTGGAGGAGGAGGCGGAGGAGGCGGAGGAGGCGGAGGAGGCGGAGGAGGCGGTGGAGGAGGAGGAGGCGGAGGAGCAGCACCAAATCCACTCCAACCGGTGGCTGTGGCATAAGATGTGCGAGCAATGGGTAAACTCCCAGAAATGTTCGATGGCGACAGGACTAAGGCCGACGACTTCATCGAAGAAGTAAAAGGATACCTGCGCCTCAACACGGACGTAAGCTGCTTCAACTCCCCCATGAAAAAGATCGCCTTCACCCTCACCCACATGAAAGGAGAAGACGTCACGGGGTGGACCCGGGACATAGGAGCAATGCTCGACGCGCTAGACCCTATTGCCGACAACATTCCCTTACTATGGGAACAATTCCTAACGGAGTTCGGGGCCCAGTACCTCGACTCAGCCAAAGAAGACCGAGCCCGCACCGCTCTGCAAAATCTAGCCATGAAACCGGGCAAAATAGACCTGTACATATCAAAGTTCGAAGAGTTGGCCCGCAGAGCCGGCTATACCGCCGGAGACAACGCAACGACCCGACTCTTCCTGCTTGGCCTCACACCCAAAACAATGACGGATGTCATGGCCAGCCCACCAGTACGAGGATACGAAGCCATCAAACAGAGGGCCATAGACAGCACCATCGCCCAGAGAACCATCCGCGACCTGCTCGCAATACGAAACAACCCAGCCAAGGCGGACAACAGGACAAACTTCCCCTTCCAACAAAATAGGGGACAACAACGTCCCTCCTTCTTCCAAAAACCAAACCCGCAACCATACCGACAGCCGTATCACTTGTCAAATGCCCCAAGGTGGATGAACAACCAAGCCGTACCGATGGACCTCAGCAGATCAAGGGCACCCAACTTCTACCAACAAAGGGGAGGGCAGCCGCAAGGCCATCAGGAAAACGTCAATTTACTTAAGTCTGCTTAGGTGCACTTATGTTTCTTAAACCTGCATTAAGACAATTAAGAGAACTAAGAACTCTTAGTTTGACTTAATATTTTTAACATCAAAGTGATTTTAAGGTAAACAAGTCATAAAGACTCATTAAGACGCACTTACTACTGTAAGTAAAATTAAGCAAACCAAAGATACTCATCAAGTAACTCGTCCACTGCCCGCATGACCCAGTCATACTCCTCAGTACGACAAGGCAGAGGCTCGGGGCGCACACCAACATGGAGTGCGTGTATTGCGCATAACCAAGGGTCCATCTCTGTCGACTCTTTGATGGCTTTGTCGATGTGCCAAATCTCGCATACATCCCAATGAGTTCCCGTGTGGCCTCATGCCCATTCACATCGGCGAGGATAGACCCCCAATTCTCACATAGACCGAGGGCGGAGAGGGCTTGGTCCAGAAGAGTGACTACTTGTTCTACACTGACTTTGTGTGATTGTAGACATTGCTGGTGCGGGGACATCCTTCAGGCCAAACTCTACTCCAGCTTCCGTGTCGAGCATCTCACCAAGCAGGTCCAAGGTAGCACCAGGGTTGGCTGCACGCAGGTATGCATTAATCATGCTGTTCCAAACATGAATGTGCCCCGCTCGTGCAGACATCGGATTAGCTTCATCCTATACGATTTTGCCTTGAGAACAAACTTTCCAGAATTCATCAAATACGACATGTGCGCCCTTGATGTCATTGACTGTCATGTATACGTCAAGAAGATGGGCATAGATAGAGGCGGAGGGTTTGGGAAAACTGCGCCTAGATCCACTCACGATACACTAGAAAGAGGGGATCAGGGATATTGGACGCGCATAATACCCACTCACACTCACCAATAGTTTGATCCACGATGTATCACATGGTGAACCGTGCTCCTGTACAAGCCATTCGTCCAAACTTCCCACACTACCACATATCGATCAGACGCTGAACCTTGGCTTGTATAGTGATCGCCCACTTACTCTCTCCGATATTGCAGACCATGCAACCTGGAATTGGATCCACAGTGATCCACATTCCTTCTTCAATACCTTTCTGACGCATGACGGCAGTCACGGTACCAGGGTTCTCGACTGCTAGAAACTGCTGCGGCAGGAATACCTGCAGCGCACCACGCGTAGGGTCTGCCCATAGGAAACTGCCCGAGATTCAAACACAGTGGGCATCCTGAGCTGAACAACTTGAAAGAGGTAGCCTTACATGAGGCATCCATAATCCCTGCGACAGATCGTGTTAAGCGTCGTGACTATGAGCGATGTATGACCTCACTTTTTTTTTTTTTTTTTTTTTTTTTTTTTCCGAATTTTTATTCCGCGCGCATGTAACTACAGACAAAGAGGCGGTCACGCCAAACAGCGTTCTATGTGTGACTGGGGGTTTGACGCTTGCCCGCTGGGGTGGTGTGTACATATGGGGTGTTTTGGTGAATGGGGTGGGAGACATTGCACACTTCGGTGCCGATATAAACCGAGCAACGAGCGAGTTCTACATTATATATTATAGGGGAAGTCATCCTGGGTCCCAGTCTAATCTCCGGGGCTTCGCGCAGGCTTGGGTTTCCTCAAGGAACCGTAGGGTTCCAACGCATAGCAGCGGTTTGTTGAAGAGTTGGTCGAGAGACCTGACTCTCCCGCGCGCGTTGAGGTGCTTGCTTCGTGCCGCATCGTGGATTGGGCAGTCGAGGAGGACGTGTTCAACTGTTTGAGGCAGCTCCCCGCAGGGGCATGCCACTAGTTCTTCTGGTAGTGGGACAGGGAATTTCTTCCCAAGGAAGCGGGCTGTGTATTCGCCCGTGAAAGCATGCCCTGTAATAAACCTGAATAGTGTGGATGTGGTGGAGCGTGAGACCTTAGCTTTATGTAGCTGTCCCTGTGTTTTAGAGCGGAAGGGCTTGTCTTTCCAGCCCTTCTGGTGGATGCGGAGTATGGGGTGTAACCTCCCATCTGGAGGCTTGGTGCAAGCTGTGCGGTAGGCCAGGGAGGTGCGGGGGTTTGCATGCCACCGCTCCTCCCATTTGCGTGTGGCTTCCGCTTTCGCTTGTTGTCGTTGGTAGTTGATTGTGGTTTGTTCTTGGCTTGCGCTCGTGCGTTCAGCCCAGGCCCTAGGGCCCAGACCCGAAACACGTTATCATAACAAACCGTTGTATGTAAGAGACAGGGTTGTATCATAAACTACTGAAGTGAAGAAGTCAGCCCAGCCGCCAAAGGCCGGTTTCCCAATATTTTTGCCAGTCCTCCCGAAGGATTCTCAGCCTCGAACCAGTCTGGATATATACTATCGGTATGTATCTCTGACTGTTATCCTGTGAGTCTCCGGTTACCACAGGTGGGGAATTTATGTTTAATGGGGGAGTGGGTGCGGTTGGGGTGAATTTGGCAGGTGGCTTGTCCAGCTTTGCCGTGGGTGTGGCTTGTGAGGCCTGCCCACCGGCTGCTTCCCCTTTCACGCGCTCCACTTTGGATTTGGGGCACTTGTGCTTGCTGGCAGTTTTGCGGGAATTGAACTTTCGTCCACATGCCACGCATTGCCGCTCACGAGGGGGTTGTTTGGCCGCTTTCGCAGCTTCCCGTTCCCTTTCTCGCTTAGCAGCACGGCTCCGCTTCCGTGCAAGACGCCGCTTCTCCTTTTGGGCATTATTGGCCTTGCGGCCACCCTTCTGGAGTTCGAAGAAGGCCATATGACCATCCCCATTAAGCAGCTCCAAAATATATCCAAACATCACCTTTTTCACCTTATGGACGGGGTGAGGTACGAGTGCGACAGCACACTTGACCAGGTGGGAGTGGAATTGGGGAGTAAACTCAACCCATGAAATGTTTCCGTCTTCAGCTTTTTGGGCCGAAATGGCATTGGCCAAGAGGTGGGGCCTTGAGAGGAACCAGCGACGACGGAAGATGTTGAGGATGTCAAACACCGAGAGTTCAACATCCCCAGGAGGGGACTTTTTAGGCCTAGCCCCTCCTTTCGGTTTTTGGGGGGGAG